CCCAAACCCATGAGAGACCTCATGGGCTAACCCTAGTCACCCTAATTCCTCACCGGCAAAACTTATATTATCGGCTTGCTGGCTGCCGATAAAATAAAAGTTATTTTTATTTTTGAAATATGAATTAATCATAAGTAACGAAGATCAAGGAATAAAAATTTATTTCTAGCAGGAATTGAATTCAGAGGATATCTGAAAAATAATACTATGGACATCTGAATTATTTTATCATTGGTAACAAGAATGTTAGTGATCAAGTTTGGATAATAAAAATATTGAAGATTAAAGGAGGTATTGTTATGAATTCTGTAGATTTGTATACTTGATAACCTATTAATTATCTCTAATAGCACCTAATTGGAATGAGGGCCTGTGCATCTGTCCATTCTGTTCTGAACTTTAAACTTGGAAAAAAGGACTAAGCCATTATTGTCCAATCAATGCGAGTGTCGACCTCCTACGACAAATAAATGTGTCGACAGTCAACAGAGAATGACACATCATAAATAAATAATTTCATAAAATTAGCATTAAAGAAAGAATTTTCATAAAAATTAATTATAAAATTAAGAATTTTTATATGAATTTTCAATTTCTAAAAGGTGAGAACTTTATGTTAAGAAATCTATCATAAATTTTTAAAGGAAATTTATACAATAATAAAAATTCAATTTTTATTTTTCTAGCTTTTAGGAAATAATAAAACATTTGTCAACATTCTCATGGAAAATTATTGCTAAATTTTTTTTTTTATAGAAATTTATATGATTAACAATTTTCAAAGACCATTTTCATAAATACAAAAACTTGTAATAACCTTAAAAATGATTATTTTTATAATTCAAATTTTAGCATCATTTAAATGAACAACAATTGTCACTACGGAGAAGAGATATTTTTTTCTTCTACTCGCAGTCTTTTACCAACCCCTTATGCCTTCAGAATTAATAAGGAAGAGAAGAGAAACATTAAGGGAAATAGGAAAAAAAACATTACAATCAATACTATTAAATTTTAGAATTCCAGAAGATCGTCTCTTGCTTACTACTATCATTTTCTTGAGTTATGACTTACCAAAATTTTACAATAACTAAAATAAATAGAGATTAGGAAAATCTAGAAGGATATTAAATTCTATGAACATAAGTAATTTAAGAGAACTCTTTATACACTACTTACATTTTCCAATACCTTAATTTTTAGAGAAAGAATTGCGATTAATTATGATAAAAAAGAGGATTAAAAAGAAAATTCATTCAATTATATAAATCAAACTCAAATAAAATAACTTATTCATATAAAAATTACATATTCTATATTATTAAAAAATCAAGTGATGCAAATTTCAAATTGAATTCTCAACATCGTATTTTCCCTCAATAGCTATCTATTCCAAATCTTGGCTCAACCTGAGCTTCTAACTCTTGAAAATACATAAAATAAGTTTATTGATTTTGGAATACATAACATAAAGTTTAAAGAAAAAAAATCTTTATTAAAATAAACAAATAAATGTTTTGGAAATTTTTATGGAAGAAGACCGTAAGTGAAATTTTTGCTTAAGTTTTAAATTTAAATGAATAAATTTTTGGAGTCATATTAGATATATTACAAAAAGAGAAAGTGCAAGACAGCATTGAATATCTATCAGATTATGGAAATCAAAAACATTTAGAGAATTAGCCCCAAGTTTTTAATGAATAGAAATTATCTATTAATAGAAATGACATCTAAAAAATTGCTGATGTCTTAAAATAATTAAAAGATCATGACTACAATAACAAAGACTATTCAAGTGATTAAAATTAAGAATAGACTTAAAGTCTAATTAACAACATGAAGGGTAATCGATTAATCATTGAATTTTTGTTATTTTTAGTTTACCTAACTTCCATAGACAACACTTTAATATAATGTGGGTCAAATTCATTATATGTCTTAGTTCAGATGTAGGTGGATCTTAAAAACAAAAATTTTTCAAATATTAAAATCTAAAATACGTCTTTGATTGGGGCTAATTTTGTTCGCTGTAATTTTAGTGGATCAGAATTTAACAAAGTTAATATCAGCGGGATGAATATAAATGGAGCATAATTATTTAATTGTTAGTGGAAAAATTTACAAACCCAGGAATTAAACTATTTAAATGGTCTTTCAAGTTAAGTTAACTCAGTCTGTTTTTCTCCAGATCGAAGTACATTAGCTTTTGGTTGTGGAGAAACTTTTGATGTTATTGATAACTCAATATATTTATGGGATATAGAAACAGGTTAGTAAACAGCCAAATTAGATGGTCATAATAGCTCTGTCTTATCAGTCTGCTTTTCTCCTGATGGTAATATATTGGCATCAGGTAGTTATGATACCCTCATTCATTTATGGTATATTAAAACAGGAAAAAAACAAGCCTAATTAAATAGTGATGGTGGCGGAAACTTATCAGTCTGTTTCTCTCCTGATGGTAATACATTAGCTTCTGGTAGTAATGATAACTCTATTCGTCTATGGGATATGAGAACTGGAAAATAAAAAGCCAAATTGGATGGTCATACCAATTCTGTCTGGTCAGTTTGTTTCTCTCCTGATGGTAATACATTAGCTTCTGGCGGTAATGATAACTCTATTCGTCTATGGGATATGAAAACTGGAAAATAAAAAGCCTAATTGTATGGTCATGTTGGAGCACTCTACTCAGTCTGTTTCTCTTATGATGGGAAGGTATTAGCCTCAGGTAGTACAGATAACTCTATCCGTCTATGGGATATTAAAACAGGACAATAAACAACCAAAATTGATGGTCATACTGGAACAGTCTACTCTGTATGTTTCTCTCCTGATGGTAATACATTAGCTTCTGGTAGTAATGATAAGTCTATTCGATTATGGGATGTCAAAACAGGATAATAAAAGGGAAGATTGGAAGGTCATATTGGATCTGTCAGATCAATCTGTTTCTCTGTCGATGGAAATAAATTAGCATGTGGTAGTTAAGATAAGTCTATCAGTATATGGGATATGAAAACAGTAAAAGTTAAAGCTAAATAAGATTGTCATACTGGAATTGTCTATTCAGTCTGTTTTTCTCCAGATGGGAATATTTTAGCCTCAGGTAGTACAGATAACTCTATTCGTCTATGGGATATTAAAACAGGACAATAAACAACCAAAATTGATGGTCATACTGGAACAGTCTACTCTGTATGTTTCTCTCCTGATGGTAATACATTAGCTTCTGGTAGTAATGATAAGTCTATCTGTCTATGGGATCTAAAAACAGGATAATAAAAAGCCAAACTACTTGGTCACACTCAATATGTAATTATAGTCTGCTTCTCTCCTGATAGTAATTCTTTAGCATCTGGTAGTGGAGATGGCTCTATTCGTCTTTGGGACTTAAACACAGGATAATTAAAGGCTTAATTTGATGATTTTGCAAGAAGTGTCTTTTCAGTCTGTTTCTCTCCTGATGGGTATACATTAGCTTCTGGTAGTGAAGAAAAATCTATTCGTTTATGGGATCTAAAAACAGGATAATAAAAAGCCAAACTACTTGGTCATAATCATTATGTAATGTCGGTCTGTTTCTCTCCTGATGGAAATATATTAGCTTCTAGTAGCTTAGATAAATCCATCCGATTATGGGATGTATAAATAGGAAAGTAAAAAGCTTAATTGGATGGTCATAGTGAGAAAGTTTGGTCAGTCTGTTTCTCTTATGATGGATCTAAATTAGCATCTGGCAGTTAAGATAGCTTAATCATTCTCTGGGATATCAAATCATCAAAATAGATAGTCAAATTAGATGGTCACATTTTTGACGTTAGATCAGTTTGTTTCTCTCCTGATGGAAATACTTTAGCATCTGGTAGTAATGATAACTCTATCCGTTTATGGAATATTAAGACAGGAAATGAAATTAAACATTATGATATAATAGATAATGATATTCTATCTTCAATATCATAAAACAATTCTATTTTTGAAGGTACGATATATAGTTGATATTTTAGCTCAAAATAATTTTACTATTCTCCATATATCATAAACACCAATGTTTTAAGCTAAAGGAGCTCTTGTTTTTAAGGGATAATTTGTAAATTATTAAGGTGTAGACTTAAGATCATTATTAAAATCAAAAGGATGTTGCTTTTTGTCAGAATAATAATAAAAATGAATTTGATTAATTTTAAGAATTAAATATTAAATTTTTTTCATTATTAAAATGATGTTCCTAAAATTTTCTGGTTAAGTATTGAGAAATTGTTAATTAAACTAATTTACTCCTTACTTAATAATACAATGTTGTCTACTTATTTAATTGCAGCTTATATTAATAACAAAGCTCTTATTATTCTAAATAGGATTAAAGATAAATAGTTAAAGGTTTAAATTACTTCTTAAAAAGTAAATTTGAAAAAAATGACTTATTTTATGGAATTAATATTGCTAAGTTGCAAAAAGGATTCACTTAAGTAGTTGCTTATTTGCAAATTAGTAACATATTCTATAAATGAATCCTGATTAATAAAATAATAAAAATGAAAAATCTCCTCCATCATTTTTTTAAAGAACTTAAAATTGGAATTTTTATACTAATTTTTTGGAATCAAACTTATATGTGGAGAAAGTTAGATTTTCCAATTATTATTGAATGATTATTTTATGTTTATAAAGTTATATTTTGATGCAATTTTTTAAAATTGGAACATTCCAAAATTGTTTGCTTCTATTAAGTAAATATGATTTTTTATTTTCTGTTGTTATGTTTGATAAAATATCTTAATATATATTTAATAAATTTGTAATTTTGTTTAGAGAATAGCATAATCTGATAGAGCACTCAATAAATTGATAGGGTACTTGTATAAAGTCTGATAGACTTAAAGAGCTTTTGAAGAAATTTGTTGAAAAGTTATTATAAACTATACAATATTAAACTGGAATTTTAATACAATAAAACCTTGAAACATAATTATTTTTGATTTTATTTTATTTATCAATCTAAGAATAAATTGTTAATTTGTAAGAAAAATTGCCACTTTAGATACAAAATCTCACTATTTAGTTTTATGATTACCAATCATTTGATGGAAGAGATTGATGTATAGTCTCCTAAATGATTTTATTATGAAATCTAGGTTAAATTATTTTCTATAGTATAAATGAAATAATACTAATTTTTCTGCTTTCTCAACCTATTGAGGATACTTAAAATTTTGATTGTAAGTTTTATAAAGCATAAATGATACATTAATATGCAGTTCAAGATAAAATCTTTTAACTTTTTTAATAGCAATACATTAATTCCTGAATTTCAGGAAATCCTGTTAGATTTCTTTGAACTTACTATAATTCTATATTTCCAGCCTTTATTTTTAAGGGAGAAAAATAATACCTTAATAGATTGTATTTAATGATATATCAGAAAAATAAGGCTATTTATTTTTTCGGTTCCTTTCCATGCATTCTTAAACAGATTTTGACTTTATCAATCACTGCCTCCCTATATCTTAAAAACTATTGGAGTATATCTATTACCAAATTTGAAATAAGAATAAGTGTGAAACAACTTATATTAATCCAACCAATATGTTCAGCTAACTCTCTATTTTGATTCAATTAAAGAATTTCATAGACAGAAAAGATTAGAGTATTCACCATAATTAATACTTCTGTTATCGTTGTTTTGATATTCTCAAAATGGTTCTCAAAAGGTTAATAGACTAAAAAATAACAGGAGAATACTCCAGATATACAAGCCGTNCAAAAAGGATTCACTTAAGTAGTTGCTTATTTGCAAATTAGTAACATATTCTATAAATGAATCCTGATTAATAAAATAATAAAAATGAAAAATCTCCTCCATCATTTTTTTAAAGAACTTAAAATTGGAATTTTTATACTAATTTTTTGGAATCAAACTTATATGTGGAGAAAGTTAGATTTTCCAATTATTATTGAATGATTATTTTATGTTTATAAAGTTATATTTTGATGCAATTTTTTAAAATTGGAACATTCCAAAATTGTTTGCTTCTATTAAGTAAATATGATTTTTTATTTTCTGTTGTTATGTTTGATAAAATATCTTAATATATATTTAATAAATTTGTAATTTTGTTTAGAGAATAGCATAATCTGATAGAGCACTCAATAAATTGATAGGGTACTTGTATAAAGTCTGATAGACTTAAAGAGCTTTTGAAGAAATTTGTTGAAAAGTTATTATAAACTATACAATATTAAACTGGAATTTTAATACAATAAAACCTTGAAACATAATTATTTTTGATTTTATTTTATTTATCAATCTAAGAATAAATTGTTAATTTGTAAGAAAAATTGCCACTTTAGATACAAAATCTCACTATTTAGTTTTATGATTACCAATCATTTGATGGAAGAGATTGATGTATAGTCTCCTAAATGATTTTATTATGAAATCTAGGTTAAATTATTTTCTATAGTATAAATGAAATAATACTAATTTTTCTGCTTTCTCAACCTATTGAGGATACTTAAAATTTTGATTGTAAGTTTTATAAAGCATAAATGATACATTAATATGCAGTTCAAGATAAAATCTTTTAACTTTTTTAATAGCAATACATTAATTCCTGAATTTCAGGAAATCCTGTTAGATTTCTTTGAACTTACTATAATTCTATATTTCCAGCCTTTATTTTTAAGGGAGAAAAATAATACCTTAATAGATTGTATTTAATGATATATCAGAAAAATAAGGCTATTTATTTTTTCGGTTCCTTTCCATGCATTCTTAAACAGATTTTGACTTTATCAATCACTGCCTCCCTATATCTTAAAAACTATTGGAGTATATCTATTACCAAATTTGAAATAAGAATAAGTGTGAAACAACTTATATTAATCCAACCAATATGTTCAGCTAACTCTCTATTTTGATTCAATTAAAGAATTTCATAGACAGAAAAGATTAGAGTATTCACCATAATTAATACTTCTGTTATCGTTGTTTTGATATTCTCAAAATGGTTCTCAAAAGGTTAATAGACTAAAAAATAACAGGAGAATACTCCAGATATACAAGCCGTAATTAGACTTTAATAACCCATCAGACCTTAAAAAACAACTAAATTGATAATGAATATAGTTTTTTTAATTAACAATATTGTAAAATATTATTTAGCACCTTATTTTTTTTTATGGTTTACTCCCTACACAAAAACTGATATATTTTTAGTAACTTTATTATTAGAACTTAAATAACAATAGATAGAGAATATAATGAATATATTACATATTAATGTAAATAGAGCTAAATATGATATAGTTGTGTTTAAAGTGTTCTCAGAATTAAAATTCACTATTTATAAAATAGATGCATAGGTCATCTCATAAAAGTTAGATGTATAAATTCTAATTAATCCAGAGTAAATAAAATATTAATAATATTTTCGGCAAACTGTTTAAATGAAAAAAAAAAATTTCACTACTTTTAATAAAGAGTCTCTTTGGTAAATTGTTGGCAAGTTTTAATATTTGCAAAAAATGAGAAATTTATAAATTAAGTAGGAGATTATGAAATAAATATATCCCAATATTAGCATAACTAAAAATGTTTCAAAGTATTATAAATAGAAACAATCTATTTTATAGTATTCAAATTTCCATTTAGCTTAAATAACTGGAGTTTAAAAGTTAAACAAATTTTCAAATTTTTGATTTATTAATAATTTATCTACTATTGGAGTAAAGGAGCCAATGTTAAAAATTTCAAAATAAATTTGTAAGTTTTCTGGAAATACAATATTATGAAATTTCATATATGATAATTATTAAAGCATATCAAGAACATTCCATAAAATTTCTAAATTACCAAATGCAAAAGAAATCCCACTTATACTAATTATAGAATACAACATTATTTTGCTCAGCACTGAAGTTTTAGAAATAAGCAACTTTTAATCAGCTGACATTTTATAAGGGGACCTAAATTTCAAAGTAGCTTTGTTTGAGAGCAATTTATTGCCAAAAATATTTACTATATTATCACTTTTTATTTCAACTTATAAAACAGGATTTTGAACATTAGACTTGAAATTGACAATTATTTTATAGGCTACATCTGACAATTCTGAATTGATAGCGATTATTGGTTTGATTTCAACATCATAGAGAGCATTATGATTTGTTATTTGGATTATAATCAACTGAAGAAATTATTCTTGGTTAATGCCTTATTGATTTAAACTCACAGGTTCAGAAAATGATAATTTGAACTCTTAAATACTTGTATCAGTTTTAGACAATTTGGTCAGGAGAATATAGGGTAGAATTGCATAAGTGCAAGAACTAATTGTATATTATGTTAAGCATTTCCAATTATTTTCAACTTCACAAATATCATTGCATCCATCATTATTTTAAAGGTTCCCATCGTCACATTATTCTAATTATTCAACTAAGTATCCATCACCACAAACACTTTTACATAAAGACCCATCTTCTACATAACCAGTTTCGCATTACATACATTGCCCTTGAAAACAATCAATACATTTTTAGTGGCATGAATAAGTGCATTAATAACAACCATCAAATGGAATATTATTTCCATCATCACATAGTTCATTTCCCACTAGATATCCATCACCGCATTCAGAAGTACAAATTCCTTCAACCAATTACCATCCTGTTTTCTAACATTCCTTACACTGCATACCATCACAAATATGGCATCCTAATGGGCAATGAACTTTACATTTATAGCAACCATCATATGGTAAATAATTACCATCATCACATTATTCATCATATCCTGAAACTATACCATCACCACAGAATGGGATACATTAATTTGAAAAGCATTTATTAAGAAGAACATCCCAAATGCATTCAAAATTCTCACTATCTGTATTGCAAGCCTCTTAAAATAAATAGTCTTCACAGTTCTGCTTTCTAATACATCCTCCATCTAATTTTACTGTACAAAATGGTAAATATGAATTACAATCTTCATATTTAGTAAGAGAAACTTATGCAGTTTGGCAGGTTTTAGTATAACATTTTTCATCAATCCAAATACAAGGATTTAAATTAATATCAAATGTACATCCATCAATTATATTTATATCCTCACATGCTTTTCTTAAAACACATTAATATCCATTTGTTACACATCTTTTGTCTTCAAATATCGATGCACAAGCTGGATCTGATGCATAATTGTAATCAAAGCATCCTTTTTCACGACAACCACCTTTTTAACAAGTAGATAGGAACAAAGCACATTCAGTATGAGATGAGGCAGCTGAAGGTCCATTTTCACATATCCGTTCTAAACAACTACTTTTCTGATCATCCCAAAAACAATTTATTCCTCTTAAGTTCATTTATCCATCACTTATACATTATACATAATTGTAATCTCTACAGAATGTTTATCCAGTTTCACATCCATCAACATTTTTATTAACAGTGCACTAATCTCCAAAATACTAATGGCAATTAAATGCTGAATATTAAATTAATTATGCAAAAGAGCATTACTTAAAGGTACATTTATTTTGATTGTGTATCCATTCACATTCAATATTATTTTAATCTAAATAACATTATTCTTAGATTAGATAACTACTACAATTATCTAATTTTTAGCATCCATTCTTAGTTGAATTAACCGTACACTCATTTAATATTTAGTTACATTGTTCGTGGCTTGTAAAATTTGACTCCAAGTTTTAACAAGTTAAAATTATACATCTATTTTAAGACTTCTAAAAGTAGCATTTGTTTCCATAACTATCTAAAAAACATTATGTTTATTTTGCTAGATCACATGAAGCAGGTAGGTCAACGCATTAAATTACATCCAGTTTAAGAGTGCAACTTTTGCTAAGATAATAAGATTCACATTAATCATGAGTGATATTTGAAGTACTTGCAGAATTGCAATCTTCAATACATGAATTATTATTAATATTAAAATAACAATTGAAAAGCCAATTACTACAATCTGAGTTAGAGGATGATGCAGTAGGTTTATTTTAACAAGTTTTTTCTTTACATTATGTACCATCCCAAAAACATGGAATTCCTTTTGAATTTTTTGTATCTAAACACAAGATGGAATTAGAATAATTGCTACAATCCAAAATTTTTTGGCAGTTTGCACCATTCCAAAAACATTAAGCTATAAAAATTGTACAATCTTCAATAGTTGTTAAACCATTACAATCTAAGATTTAGCATGAGTTGACTGCATCTGACATACAATCAGAATGCCAAATAAAACAATCTAAGTTTGTAGAAGGATTGAAGTTTGCTGCTTCACAGATATTTATACAAGTATTAGAACTCCAATGACATTTCATTCCATCGATTCTACTTACACAAGCATCTTTGTAGGTGTAGTCTGAACAAAGCTATTGTTTTTTTATACATTTTTGGTCAGTTTAAAAAGAAATGGTAGTAGTAAAAAGTCTATTGTTGCAATCTGAATGCGATTTAGGGAAATCAGCATTTCCAATACAAAATTTGTTATTAGAACATTTTACAATTTAATGTTCACACCAAAATTATTTATTTATTATTTTGGAGGACCAACCCTAACCATAACTATTCTCACAGTCAAATTATGTAGGATAGTCGGAACATAATTTAAAATTACATTTATTATTTATCCAGATACAATTTTATCCATCAACAAGATTTGACTAATTACATATTATTTAATTTTAAATAGAACTACAATCATAAAAAGCGCATCCTATGCCTTTAGTATAATTCAATCTGCAATAATCAGCATTTTCTAAGAGACATTCGTAATTTGTAATAGCTGTAGTATTTATTTGGCAATCAACAAAATTTACACATTTACCAACTTACCAAAAGCATTAATATTAATAACATTAATGAATTAATTTTATTAATGTGCAATTTCCTGTGTAAGTTGTACAACCAAGACTATCAAGGATGCAATCATATCTCCAATCATTACAAATTTTATCTGTTATGACAGAATAATTTGAATAAGTTAAATGTTCGCATTTTCGGGACTCGCAAGTATTATTAGAGAAATTGTATCCACATAATTTTTAATTAACAACTGATTTATTACACAATTCTTATCCCCCTAATTATTAATTGCATGAACTCATTGGTAGACAGCAATTGCAATTAGTATCATATCTGTAATTTGATGAATAGTTTTAGCATGCTTAGTTTTTATCTTAAAATGATTCAATTGAACCAAATGATATATTTTTCGATGCAGTTTATTAAAAGCAATAATAATAACAGTAACTATAAATACAACTTATGTAGGTGTAACATAATTATCCTAATGATGTTTTGAATCCATTACAAAAGTATTATGCATTTTTATCGGAACAATAAGTATCAGGTTAACAAGAGGAATTAAATATGCACTTGCGATTGAACTACATGACGGCACTTCTACAATTATTAATCGATGAATATTCGCAGCTGTTCATAGTTTAACATCCGTTTCCTCCTGATTAAAGGATACAAGAGCGATTATAGATTTAACAAACTTCATTACTTTTACTATCTTAAATAGACTCACATCGATCTGATGGTACAACTTAACATTAAGATTTAAAAAAATAGCATCTTTAATTTAATTATGTAAGAGTTAATTTACATATAGTAGGATTTGTAATATTGTTACAAGAGATTGGTCTTAATTCACATCCTATTCCATAAGTTCCATTAGTTTAAATTTTTAATTGGCATTCATTAAATTTTCTAAAATTTAAACATTCGCCTCAGTTTAAGCAGTTAAATTTTCGCTACAAATTACATCTTTACATCTTTGATTTATTAAATCCCATTTACAAGGTTATTAAGATAATGTTATCACACATTATTATTCAAGTGCATAATCACAATAATTTGAAAGAGGCTAACAATAACTAACAATGTTATTTATAGTACACTTAGAAAGGAAGTTTTCACAATCTTGATGTGTTAAATCTCCATATATTCTCTATTAACAATCATTATCATCAAACTCATCAAAACATTGTTGTTCAACATCACTCCAATAACAATATTCACCTGACAAATTTGTTTTGCAGTTTCTTTGCCTTATATATTCAAAGCAGTTTGCCTTCTTTAATTCACATCCTATTGGATTAAAGGAAGAAATAACAGTACATTTAGGATTCCATGCTTAACATTCTTAATGTGTATCATACATCATATTATTAGGTGATGATGTACAATCAACAGATATAGGTCTATTCATGCACCCTCCAGAAATGGAATTATATATGCAATAATCTAACCAGGTATTGCATTCAATATTATTAGTATAATTAATTTTAGAAGCATCTGAACATTCTAATGTTTTACATAGACTACCAGTCCAAAAACACTTGGTTTCATCTTATAAATTTAATTTACACTAAAATTCACTAATTAACTCTTCGCAATTATTTGGCCATTATTAGCATCCAAAACCAGAAGACTAAATTATACAAGTTCCCTGTAAAACATTAAATGAATTACAATCTTCATTAGTTAAATATAAATTTGGATCTGCATCAATGCACACCTTATATATACATTTTTGATTAATGCTGTCCCATTTGCAATTAATACCTGAGATTGTAGAATAACATTGTTCTTTAAGAGCAACTTCACATTTATTTTATTTATCAACACATCCAACCGTTATATATGAATTTTGTAATCTTTACAAATTAACTGTGCAATAAGGCAACCACTATTCACATTTTTCGTTGCTATCATAACTTATTGGAGCTGTTTTACATTTTTTATCAATACATCCTTAATTGATTGCACAAATAGTTCCTTTTGAATCAACTGAACAATATTCTATTTCAGTAATATTTTCACATATATTATCTGCACATCCTAAGACTTATAAGTTAAATGTGCATAATGGACTAACCTTTTAGCAAATTTAATGATCTTTATAGGTTGGCAATTTTAATTTTATACATTCTAATAATGTGCATTCCCCATCTAACCAAATACATTTTTCTTTATTGTAATTAAATTCACAAAATTATTCTTCTAAAATCTAATTACAATTATCTGGTGAATCTTAGCATCCACCAGTTAATTTTCCTATGCAATTTCCATATTGTCTACAATCCTTTTGACCATAATAATCTGGAGCATATTAACATTCTCTTTTTACACATTTATTATTATTATACCATATGCAATCTTCTTATACTATTGAATAACAATCTATTTAGTCAACATAACCTTCACATGATTGTGGTCTTTATTTACATCCTCCATTTTTAGAGGTAACACAATCCAATAAATTATCATAATTTTAACATTGTTGATAATTTGTAAATGAGTCCAAAGCAGTATCACAAGTCTTTATTTTACATTAATTTTAATGAAATACACATTTATTTCCATTAATATCTGTAACACAGCCAAATATATTTTTAGCATCACTACATAATTTTCTTAAGATACAATGATTTCCATTTGATGTACATTCATTAATATAAGATTGACATTCATAATCTTAAGTAAAAGGTAAATTTTCACAAATTTTTTCAACACATTTTTCATTTTTATAATCCCAAAAACAGTAATTTAAATTTTAATTACTTTCAAAACATTGAAAATCATATTCGTATTACGAACATAATTCTTTTAATTTCATACATCCATGACCTTTATTATCTACAGTACAGCCATCAAGACCTTCTTTGCACATGGTATGACTCGTTAAATAGATTGGAAGTTATTCACAAGAATTTATATCTTGACATTTTTTTTCCATTTTTTGAATCCAAATGCAATAACCACCATTTTGGTTTTGATTTTAACATCCTTGTTCTGTTTAATAATCATTGCATTCCAACTTTTCAACACATTCTTTGCCATCAGATACACATCTATAAGAAGATTATTAACAATTATCTTTACTGAAGATCTTACAATTTACAAAGATTTAGCAATTGCCTTAATAAAATCCGCAATACTTTTGAACTCTACAGTCTTCTTCTGCAAAAACCTAACATTTTTCTTTTGTTTCCTCCCCTTCTTTTTAAAGGACACCAGGTTTTGAAAAACAAACATCATTTTACCAATAGCAGAAGGCTGAATTTTAACATTCTGCTTAAATTTTTACATGTCCACAGACGCATTTTGTTGTAATCTCATGACTATTGACTATTAGAATCAGGAGAATGAAAAAGGCACAATTTTATTTTAATTCCATCAGATGTTTCCGATTTAAATTTTTTAAATTAATTTAATAATTAATACAACCTAAAAATATTCTTGTTCCAAGATGAAGAATCTCTACCTAGATATTAAATGTAGAAAATAATTATGAGAAAATAAGAGCAGGTTAAATTATGACTTATTAAATGTAGGGTTAAAATAATAGAATATTATCTTGAAATTTTCTATAAATTCATTTTGATATTTTGCCATTGTGAAATTAACATCGAATGATTTAAATTAGAATAAAATTAGAAAACCTGATATTTGTAGGATATTAGTAAATTGTATAAAATCTTTTTTTATTAATTTTCTTTAAACATTAATTTTACTCTTACTGAATATTTAAATTCTTTTATTTTCCCATCTTTGCCGATCTTCTATCTTTAATTTTCTTAACTTCTTAAGAAAAATTAGTTTTTTTTCATTTTTAACATTTCTATGTATATATTTAATTTTTGAATTTTGTATACAACACAGAAAAATATTATATAAACTTTTGAAATACATAAAAGCATACAAATATTTCTTATTAATACTTTCTTTATTCCATTTAAAATTACGACTAATCTAAAATTCCTAATATTAAAATTGAGTAGATTAACTAGACAGCTAACATGGGGTTGTCAAAAATTTGTAATCAAAAATATCCAAGAAATTATAAAATTTAGATAATAAATATTATTATATAAATTAAATTACACCATTTACAAACTGTTAGTATGGAATTGTAAATTTCAAGAAAAAATGTTTTATATTAAAAATCTTAGTAATAAAATTTAAATATGTTGTGTTGGAAGAACTTTTTTCTAATTATGAAATTTATCTGATATATATTTCATATATTAACCAATTCTTAAATTATTCAAAGATTAATAATTTATTTAGGAATGATTGACTTTGTAGAGGTTGCATTGAGCTGGGGGCTTCCTGCTATTCTTATTGACTAAGTTATGTTTTTTATAGTTTACAAAATTGCAGGAGATCAGATATGCATAGTTGATGTAGCCTATCCAACAAGTCATTTAGTTGCAGGAATAATTTATTGCATATTTTCAGAGATACCACTTCCTTCAAAGATTGTAAATATTGTTATAGATTTTCAGATTAATATTATTCTTGTAGTATTATGGTCTATGAGGTTGGCTGGATTTGTCTTTATTTATAGAGTTATAGGAGGATACCGAGATGAACGCTTTGAGAATATTTTTAATGAATTTAACAGTGACAGACTGAAAAAAAATTTGATGGTTTTGGTTCAATTTCTTTTTCAAGGTGTCTTCATATTTGTGACTAGCATTCCATTATATTTCTTATTCTAAAATAATCTTACATGGAAATCAGAAAATTTTTAGGGCTTGTAGATTATGAATTATATTGCATTGTCAATTATACCTTTTAGTATTTGTTTAGAAGCAATTGCAGGTAAAGATAAAAATATACATAGATATACAATTGGAGAAATTTAAAAAGTTATAGCAATAAGGTTTAATACCAAAGACAGAAATTATGGACACAGGATTTTGGAAAAAAAGTAGGCATCCAAATTTATTTTTCGATCTTATAACTTGGGGATGTTTTGGATTGTCAGCAATATATGATGGATTAAGTGTTTGCGCTTTGATTGGTCCTATAGTCCTATTTTGTGCAATGGAATTTGTGACAATACCTATTACAGAAGCTCACATGAAAAAAAAAAGAGGAGAAGCTTTTGATCAGTATGTTTAAAGAACTAACAAATTTTTGATTTTTTGATTTCCTTTTATCCAAAATTTCAATAATCATTAAATTAATTGTTCATTTTATCTTAACAAAGAGAGGCAATTTCTTAAATATTTATAATTTCTTTAAAATACGATTAGATTCCATACTATTTCTTAATATTTAGATGTAAGCATAAATGCTGACTAAATCTACTGAAAAAGAGTTTTTAAATATGCTATTCATTTCTACTTGAATGAAACAAAAATAAATTAAATTTTAATAAATGAGAAAGTATTTTATGAATATATTATCTAGATTCTTAAATTATTTAATTTGTTTCTCTATTTAAATCAATTTCCTCAATATTACTAAGTTTTCTTATATATTCTTATATATGTTTTGATAATATTTTTGAAAAAAATTATATTAATTTTTAATACTACTTAGGGGTGCATTAATAAAATTATATGATTAATATTGTTTAATAAGAAATAAAGTATTCTAATCCATTATATTAACAATTAACAAGATTTTGCTTCTAAAGGTATTATACAATATATTTTGAATAAAAATATTTTTTCATTAACAAATAAAAATTTTACAATTAAATAAAGGATTACATTTGAAATTTCATAAACTTATTTCTAATTCAATAAATTATTCAAAAAAAAAAATGTTCAAATATATATACTTAACAATCTGACTGTTTTTTTGTTTTTGATTAAAAAATTATTGCAGATTCATATTAATAATCTACAAAGAAAAACTAAACTGTGAAAATGACATACTTAGTTATCTTATTGAAAAAATTGATAATGCCAACATCCTGGATTAATTATGATAATTTAATTAAAGTTGAAGTTAATACGGCAGATTAGCCTTAATTAACGTGGTTCGAGATTAGAAAATTTTATACATATTAAAAATACAATAAATATACTAACTAATTATTTGATCAAATCAATTCAAATTTTAACAAATTCTATATCTATGATATTATCTTCATTAAATTTTGTAATTATGAAGCATGAAAAACAAGAAAATAAATATTCTTATTCATTCTAAAATTATGAAACTGTATAAATAGCCTTGGGTCTGACATTCTAAAAATGAAAGTCATCTAAATTATTTTCATTGAACGAGATTCTAAATATAATACCCAAATCCTTAGCATAGGATTTACTAATTGCAAAATCTCTGCTAGTGGAAGTGAATGCAGGAAACATCATTAAATCATATAACTTATGTTTCAATTTAAATGCTTCAATCGTACAATCTACTCCTCTGTATAGGAAAAATTCACTCGAAATAAATAAATTTGGGTCTATATTGTCTTAATATTTTTCTAAACTGTATTTTAATGATTGTATTATCACTGATGCTTCTAAAATTGCTTTTTCATTTAAACTTTATAGAATTCTATTAATAAATTTAAAAAATCCACTAGGTCCTGTATAGAGATTAATTATATCCTCAATTTATCCATTTTTAAATTTCTCATGAATTTAAAGAGCTAATTCTACTTAAGCCTCTTCAGATAATGTATACACAGTATTTGGCACATGTTACATTGTATTTTTAATTATTTTAAGTGCTTCATCTTTAGATAGTTAAGGAATACAACTCAACGAAAATTCCTCAGAAAGATAATAAAGTGCTGCATTTTATTAAAAATAATTAGGAAATTAATATAAATTAATTTCTCTTAAAATTAAAGAAGGTGCTAAGCTTTTTTTTAATGCTGCAATCACTTCATCTTATTAGTTTGTGATAAAAACAATTTATTTAAATTTTTGTATCAGATCTTCATATTTCTCAGGAAACTAACAATAAATAAGAATTGAATGAATATTAGGGTATGTTAACAGCATATGCAGAGTTTCATTTGCAATAGAACCTTATATGATCAAAAAAGTAATGTAATTTTCATTTAAAAAATTTATAAGGCTTTGATGATCATTTGTAAAATGACAATGTTAAATATTTGGAAAACAATTTCTAATTCTTTAAGCTAATTAAGAGTTTCCATAATTTTCAATGTGACTATCTAGCCATGCTATGGCTCTTTAATTATTTAAATTAGGTCTTTTTATATTGGTTAAAAAGGTTTTGATTACACCATCCATAGCTATGTTCATTTCAAAAATACTTTTGGTAACATTTTAATCAATTAATCTTTTTTATTATTCAAATAAACATTTTAAATCATAAAATTGCCTTTATAATTTTTTATTTGCATTTGCTGCAAATATAAATGGTAAGGCAATTTCTGTTACTCCTTTGAAAATATTCCGAATTGTTTTTCCAAATGCCCATTCACAACCAACTTCAAGTAGAATTACTGAGATAGCAAGAGAAATATTAAAATGAGTAAGAGAGTTTCTATTAGAATTTATTACTATTTCCATTCTAAATAAAAGTTCTTCAATTTCCTTAAGGATTCTAAAAAGTTTTTCAGTAATTTCTGTAGTGCTTACGGTTACTTAATTAATTATTGAAATGATATTTTAGATGAACTCTCGTATTTATTCTGAAATCAGTTTAATTTAGTATGATAAATTATTTTTTTCTATGTTTATTTCATTCTTTAATCGAGCCTCTAAGTTTTCAATATTTTAATTAACTTTCTTAATTGTTTATGAAGTTAATGACCAATATGAATGATTTTATACTTCTTACTCAACTAATTGGAGACTTTCCTCTATAAATTAGGAACTTTTTTAATGCATTGAATGTATTATTGTTCCTAGCCTCATTTTATGAAAATTACACATTTGGGTTATAGCTTAAATTTATAAATCCATTATCTGTTATTCACTAACTTATCTTGATAGCACTAATTGGTTAGCCATAATGTAATAAATATCTAAAATTTAATATTAATTATTTCATAATTATATTGTTAGTAAGTAAAATATAAATATTTTGCTAACGTAATGTATTAGAAATTACAAATTGAACTGATATTTATAAAAAGATATCGTTTATAAAATTTAGATTTAATATTGATATTTAGTATTAAAGATGATTAACTAGCATTAAAAATATTATGTGATAAATATGTATATATTTATATATTAGTTATATAATAAAATTTAATTAATGCTGACTGATTAATCTGTGATTACAAAAAGAATTTAGTCAGTTCATTTTGGATATTATACAGCAAAAGAAATAAGAGAAATGAGTGTTAAAGAAATATCAAATCCCAAAGCTTTTGATAAACTCAATCATCCCATTCGAGGTGGTCTTTATGATCCTGCTTTGGGAGTTTAACCACATGAAAGAGGTACAAGATGTGTAACATGTGGTTAAGAGAATATGGATTGTACAGGACATGTAGGCCATATTGAATTGCTACTTCCTGTTTACAATCCATATTTAGTAAATTAGCTAATGAGTTTAATGAGATCAAAATGCTATTATTGCCATAAGTTAAGAATAACAAAAGATAGAAAAAAGTTTTATAAAAACAATTTTAAGTTACTAAGGTTAGGGAGATTGATTGAAATGAAAAAGTATTAAAAGCTATACATGACAAAAGTGAGACTAAATAAATAAACTAAGAATGCATCAGATAATAGGAAATAATCTATAACTGCTACTGATACATCAAGAAAAGGAAGCGATCATAGGAAAGGAAGTGATAATAAAATGCAAAGTGATTAAGAAACAGCACCTTAAGAATTCTTAGATATTGAGGATATTAAATAATAAATCTAAGAAATTCTTGATATATTATAAGTAAAAAAACATCAATCTGAATATATTGATGGAATTAATTAAACTAGTCACATATTACAAGAACTTAAAATTTTGACAAAATAATTTTTCAAAGATATCAATAAAAAATGTCCTCATTGCAATAAAGTTTCACCAAATGTCAGAAAGGAAGGTGTAAGTAAATTCTTTTTAATGGAAAAAAGTGAAAAAGGAAACAAGGATACTTAAGATGATTAATAATAATAAGGTTCAAATAAAAAGAAAAATCATTATTTAAATCCAATGGAAATTTCAGAACATATACATTAATTATGGCGTTGGGATTAAGATTTATTAAAATATATATATGGTAGTATTTATGTTAATGCTAACACATTAAAGAATGCAAAAAAGGGATATGAATTAAAAAAGATTTCTCCAGAAAATTTTTTTATTGAAGTATTAATTGTTCCAGCTAATCGATATAGACCTGAAAATAAAGTAAATGATCAAACATTTTTGCATGGTCATACTGTCACTTATACAAGAATTTTGGAATATAATTAAGAATTAAAAGTATTGATAACTAATATGACAAATGCTCCTGCTTAAACATAAAGTAGTATGGAAGCATTGAAATAATCAGATCATATGAAAAATAATTTAAAGAAAATTATTAGATTAGATACTATAATGTAGAAATGGTTAGAACTTTAAGATTGTGTAGTTGGATTAGTGAATTCTGAAAGAGCTTAAAATAAATAAAATAGAGAAACTCCTGGAGTAAAATAATTATTAGAAAGAAAATAAGGATTGTTTAGAATGAAAATGATGGGAAAAAGAGTTAATTTTGCTTGTAGATCTGTAATTTCACCAGATCCATTATTGAGTACTAATGAAGTAGGAGTTCCAACAGTATTAGCTAGAAAATTAATTATACCAGAAAATGTAAATTCATTAAATTAATAATATGTGGCTGATTTGATTATGAATGGACCTGTTTATCCAGGAGCATTATATTTTTAAGAGGATGGTAAGAAAATTGCACTTGAATATTTAACACCATAATAAAGAATGGCAATTGTAAGAGAGTTAGGAAGTGGAGAAAATAAAGTTGTATGGAGACATTTAAGAACTGGAGATGTAATGCTTTTTAATAGATAACCAAGTCTTCATAAACCTAGTATTATGGGACATATTGTAAGAGTATTACCAAATGAATAAACAATTAGATTTCATTATGCAAATTGTAAATCATATAATGCAGATTTTGATGGTGATGAAATGAATCTTCATTTTATTTAAAGTATGATTGGAAGAGCTGAAGGTTATAATATTGCATTAAATGA